AAAGCACTCGAATAGCACCGGGAGTTTATACGCGGACAAAGCGTTCCAAACCGAATTTTTACTTCATTTTTTTCTTTCTTTGATTATTTTTTATTTTTTTTTCTGGTTTTTTTTTTTTTTTTTTTTTCGTTACTGTACTTCGCGCAGTCGCTTTAAAAGCTATTGGACGAAAACTCGCGATTTCAGGGAACCATTTTTGTCTTCTTTTCTTTTCTTTCTCTTTCTCTTTCTCTTTCTTTCTACCAAACACCACCACCCAACCACCCACAAACTCACCCTCTCTTTTTCTTCTCATTTTTAGTGCTCTTTGGAGAAACAGAAATAAAAAGAGAAGGAAAGAAATGGAGATATGGGGTAAAAAAGGGGGTGAGGAGGAATGGAATGGGGTAAGAAAAAAAAATAACAGAAAGGGGTGGAAAGGAAGAAGATAAAAAATATTTACTTCGAGCTCAACTTTACGAACGACGACGACGACGACGACGACGACGACAACGATGATAGTCGAAAAATATTTTCGATCTCTTTTTTTTACATACCACTACTAGTACAACTATTATTATTATTATTATTATTATTATTATTATTATTATTATTATTATTATTATTATTATTATTATTACTACATCACCATCACTACTACTACTACTACTACTATTACTACTAGTGCTGGTGTTACTACTGTTCACTACATTTTATTCGAGAACCCAGAAGCTTAAATTTTTATACGCATCGAGAAAGAGTAGAAGGGGTGGATGAGGGTGAAAGGGTGGGGATGAAAGGATGGAGGTTGGAAGAAAAAGAGAAAAAATTCGTTTAAAGCGTCGTGAATTTTAAGACCTTGTTTATCGCCAACCTACCAAATACACGTACACATACATGTGTACTTGTAACACATGCATACCTACATATACATGTGTACTTGTGGTACATGTACACGTACAGTTCTATTGAAACGACTTTTTTTTTTTTTAATATTTTTTTATTTTTTATTTCATTTTATTTTTTATTTTATAAAAGGGTTTTACCGATCGACCGTATTTTTTAATATCAACCATACTCTCTCTCTTTCTCACTCACACTTTCTTTTTCTCTTTCTTTTTTCTTTGAGTTTATAAATGCATACACAGATATGAATAGAAATATAAAAAAAATTATTACTAACGATTTTTTTTTATTTTTTTTTTTATTTTCTTTTTTTTTTTAGGGAGTGTGAAAAAAACTTGTGTACGCGAATAGTGTGTATTTGTATTTAAATGTATGACGTGAATTTCAAACAGCACACTCGATCGTGTGTCTATACCGATGTGTGAATTTTTTTCTTTTTTTTTTCTTTTTTTTCTTTTCTTTCTACGTGTCGAATCGTTTCAAAAGGAAAATGAGAGAGAGAGTGAGAGAACGAGTGAGTGAGAGAGAAAGAGAGAGAAAGAGATGATATTTCATTCGGAGCATTCAATTTCCGGTGAGGTTCTCTGACACTTGGTACCACCATCCCTAACTTTTATCCTAGTTGTTAGAACGAGCCTTAAACCAAAATTCTACCACGAAAAAAGTCAACTCAATATAATATTTTTATTAACATACTATTCCTTTTTTTTTTTTAAATTATTTTTATTTACTGCTATTACAGTTTTTAATTATTAAAATTATTAAAATTATTTAATTAAAATATAATATAAAAAAAAATAATTAGAATTGTGGAAAAATTTATAAAACAAATCGATTATAGTAATAAATATAATATTAATTAAAATATAATATAATTATTAGATAAAGAAATAAATAAATAAATAAATAAATAAATAAATAAATAAATAAATAAATAAATGAAATTTAGGTAAAGAAAAAATAAAAAAACAATAAATGATTATTATTATTATTATTAATATTATTATTACTATTTTTATTAAAACCATTTTTTTCTGGTTTGGTTTTGTAATTGAAAGAAACAGTAAAAAGTAGAAAATAAAAAAAGACACCCACCCCTTAACGTGTGGACTACCTTAATCTAATTAAAATTGTAGATAAACTTATTTAAAACAAATAGATAATAATAATAAATATAATAATAATTATAATAATTTAATTTTACAATAAATAAATAAACCAAAGTTAAGTAAAGGAAAAATATGTAAAATAAAGTAAAGAAAAATTACATTAATTATTCCAATTAATTTCGTTCGAATAAAAACTGTTTTTCTTGTTTTATTTTCTTATTGAAAAAAAAAAAAAAAAAAAACTATAAAATGTAAAGAAAAAAAAAAATAAGCCACTTTCCTGTAGTATGGACCACCACCCACGTTTGTTTCGTAAAAACATTGAACGTAATTGAAATTCTAAAAAAAAAGAAACTAACAAAACAGTCAATTACAAAAATAAATATAATAATAAATAAAATAATAAAATTATAAATAATAATAATAAATAAATAAAAGAATATTGATTAGAAAAATAAATAAAAAAAATAAACTTATTATTATTCCAATTATTTTCGTTCTAATTAAAAATGTTCTGTTTTTTTTTGTTTTTTTTTTTAGTTTTCTTCTTTACGATTAAAAAAAAATTAGAAAAATTAGAAAAAAAAAACTACCTTCCCTTCTCTACCCTGTAGTATGGACCACCACCCCCGTTTCGTAAATACTTTGGACCACCTTAATGCCGTACTTTAATATAAGTAAGCTCGAGTTAAGCTTCTTACCGATGACGATACGATTAGTACGGTTCACCGAGTTAATTACCTTCGTCGTTGACGGGGGATGAAATCGCAATGAGAAGGGGAAAGGTAGAAGAAGAACAGAATAAGAAGGGGAGAACGAAACGATGATGAGGAGGATGGAAGTGGGGGAAAGGTGCTGATAGAAGGAAAAATAATACGAATTATTATCTATTATCTATTATCTAGTATCAATCGTTAAATATTAGATGATATCGTTTGTTATCCTCCTAATTTTCTTTCATCCAACTGTTCCTACTTATTCCCATTGATTTTCTCTACCTCCACCCACCACCCAACCCCATAAAATCGATCAAGAATTATTTCTTTTTATTGTTGTTTTCGTACAACCATTGAAAAAAATATCTGACCATGAATTATAGATTTATTAATGTGTGTGTATGAGTGTGTGGAGGTGTATATGAAATTTTTTATTATAAATAAAATAGCTTGTTACATAGAAAAAATAAAATATTTGAATAATTAAAATAAATAATATTGTAATTTATTATATAATAATACATTTATATATTTTATATTATTTTTTAATTTAATTATTATTTATTTTATTAATTTATTATTATTATTATTATTAAATATAAATTAAAAATTATGTAATTATTAAATTTTATAGATAAATTATAATATTACTAAATAAATATCAAATAATTATTAAAAATTAAATATATATATTATAAAAAATATATTCTATATTTATTATAAAATAAATAATAATATAAAAAAAAGCTAAAATACCAAATAAAATATTAAAAAAATTATATTATCAAATTTAATATGTAATTTTGTGTTTGTGTGTTAATTTTATTATTTTATTTTTTTTCCTTTTTGTTTATTTTTTTTAATCTTTTACGCAACATCCCTCGTGTTACTCCAATTTTCTTTCCCCCTCTCCCTTTACTCTTTTTTATTTTATATATAAATATATATATATATACACACATGCATACACAAACACATTTCTTTTTTGATCTTTTTGTATCACTTTGCGTTTAGCTTTGATTCTGAAACGGATCTACTCAACAGCAGAAGCAGAAGTAGAAGTAGAAGCAACAGCAACGGCAGCAGCAGCAGCAGCAGCAGCAGCAGCTAACTTTTAGACGTTTAATTAATTCCCTCTTTCCCTCTTCACTCCCCCACCCCCTATCCTCAACCCCACTACCATCTTTTCACTCTTTTTCCTATCTCAATTTCTCTCTCCCAGTGTTTTGTTTACGTTGGAATGCGTCATGAATTTTTCTTTTGTTTTCTGTTGTTCTTTTTTGTTTTTGCTTTTTTTTTCACTAATTTCTTTTTCTCTACAAAACTACTACCTAAACCCCTCCCTTCTAACCCCTACTTATCCAACTACCCTTTTTTGTTAATTCTATTTTTTATTTCTCTATTGTGTCTTGTGTCTTTGTTGTCTTTTTATGGGGGTGGAAGGATATTATATTTTTCAATAAACTAAAAAACTAATAAACGAATAAATAAAAATGTATTATCATCTTAGGAAAAATTGAAGAAAGGATTAGAGGAGTAGGAGGAGTAACAGGAGGAGAAGGAATAAGAGGAAGAGGAGAAAAAATAAAATAGACAAGAATAAATATATTATTTTGTATCTTTTTTTTATGAGGTTGGAGGGATTTTATTTTTCAATGAACCAAAACTAATAAACGAATAAATAAAGAAGTAACATCATCTTAGGAAAAATTATTGAAAGGATTGGAGAAGTAGGAGGAGTAACAGGAGGAGAGGGAATAAGAGAAGGTGGAGGACGAGAAAAAAAATAGAAAAGAATAAAACAATTATTTTTTATTTATTCTTTATAAGGTTGGAGGGATTTTATTTTTCAATGAATTAAAATTAATAAACGAGTGAACAAAAATATAAAATCATCTTTGGAAAAATTGAAGAAAGGATTGGAGGAGTAACAGGAGGAGGAAAAGGAGAGGGAAGAGAATTTTTCATTAATTTTTTTTTCTTTATCATACTACCCCCCACCATACCCACCCACCTACCCTTTTTTGTTAATTCTATTTTGTATTTTTCTATTGTATCGTGTGTCTTTGTTGTTTTTTAATGGGGGTGAAATAAATTTACTTTTCAATGAGCCAAAACTAATAAACCAATAAATAAAAACGTAATATCATCTTATTAAAAATTAAAAAAAAGTATTGAAGGAGTACAAGAAGGAGGAAGAGAGGAGGAGGAGGAGGAGGAGGAGTAAAAGGAAGTTGAGAAAAAATAAAATAGAAAAGAATCAAAAAAATTAATTTGCAAAGAAACTTACAAAGTGTCTTACCATGACATAATGCCTCTGCATTTCGGTCTTTTCATTGGCCAGCTTTTCGCATTCGAGTTTTAACCTGAAATCAATAAACAATCATCTTGAGTTATTATATAAAGATTATCATCATGATCAAACAAACTCATTAAACACATTATACACATAAATATACACACATACATAAAAACACACACAAACTAAGATCAAAGTTTAAAAAAAAAAAAAGAAAAAACATTGAATACCATATTCTATCAACTCCACCATTTCTAAACATTCAATCCCTTCGAGAAACCACCATATTCCTTTCCCAACCCCCCGCCCCCTCTTTCATCCCTCATCCTTACAACCTTACCTTTTTCAACCTCTTTCAAGATTCGCGAGACATGGTCGCGACTCACGTATCTTCTAAACTACGAGATCGAGTTTCTCGAAGGTTGAGGAAGAAGTGGGGGTGTATGGGGGAATGAGGGGAATAAGAGGAGCAGGGGGGGAGGAGGAGGAAAAAGGATCTGTGAGAGTGTAAGGAGTGGTAGAAGAGGGGAAAGGGGATGGTGAGTAAACGAGATTACGGTGGCCATACCACCTTGATGGTCGACTCTTTCTATCCTTTTTCTTTTTTTTTACTTTTTTACTTTCTTTCTTTCTTTCTTTCTTTCTTTCTCTTACGTTTTGTCTATTTTTTTTTTTTTACACGTTGAAAAGAAAGAATCGATTGTTCAAGCTTTTATTTTTCTCTCTCTCCAATTGTACTTTACTTTAATTTTCTTCTTTTTTTTTTTTCTGTAAACGAAAGAAAAACTACTCGTGAGTTGTTTCACGTAGTACATGGTTTTGATCGAACAAAAATATTCTATCTCTCTGTAATTTTTTATGACCAACCATTATTGATTTATAACCAAAATAATTATATTGTGACGTTAATTAATATAATTATAATAAATAATAATAATAATTGTATTTAATAAATAATATAATAAATAATGATAATTGTGACGTTACTTTTCTTTATAAAACATTTAAACAAACTATACAAATTTTCTATATATATATATAAAAAAATGTAGATTTCGTTTGTGTTGAAATTTTGACACATCATTGAATTAGCATACAGCAAGGTTTTTGTATTACATTAATTTATTTATAAAATAATTAATTAATTTAAAAAAGACAAGAAAAAGAGAAAAAGGTAAGTAAATCCAGTGCCATCTGCTGGTCATAAATTTTGGTGAGTATGTGAAATGATTTGAACATAACCTAACTTTTATCTATAAAACAATCGTCATATTTTGATTCATATGAGCCACAATAACGCGTGAATTAATGTGAAATTAATTAAAATGGGGTAAAAGAGCATCGAATAATAATCGATCATTCTCATTTAATAGAAATAAATATATGATTTGTATTAACTGACAATATAAAATTGTTAAAAAAAGAAATATCTGATTTTAATAGTTGTATGATAAATATATCCAAAAAATAATACTTATAATTAAAAATATAATACAACGATTAATGTTATGTATATTGTTTGATTGTTTTTCATTTTTAAATTATATTTTAATATGTTCAATAATATCATTATTATTATTATTATTATTTCGTATATATATATATATTTTATCGTAATAATTAGAATGATATTATATAGAATTGATATTTATTATTGAATATCTTGTTGCAATCATTCAAATTATACGAACTAATTAATATTTTGATCAAGTTTATAATAAATACATTTTAAAAAAATGTCATGCATCTATCAAATAAACAAACAATACAAAATTAAAGAAATACATAAATTTCATTCAACAACGAGAGGTAGAAAGAGAAAGAGATAAAGAAAGAGATATTTGTTAATAAAAAAGAAAGAGTTAGAAAAAATGAGTACAACGAGAGATAAAAAGAGAAAGAGAGAAAAAGAGAAGAAGAAAAAACAGAAAAAGATTTGTTAAAAAAATACTTATTAATATTTTCATTCAGTTCATCGTAAATACATTTTTAAAAAATGTGATGCATCTATCAAATAAACAAACAATACAAAATTAAAGAAATACATAAATTTCATTCAACAACGAGAGACAGAAAGAAAAAGAGATTTATTTGTTAATAAAAAAAAAAAAAAAAAAAAA